GTCATATGGGTATTGTGGCACCATCATCACCATTCATTTATTTAGTGGGGTCCACTAAATAAATGAATGGTGATGATGGTGCCACAATACCTCATATGACCTCATAAGGGAGTCATATGAGGTTCCATAAATTTACTCGTACAACAACATTAATAATAATATATACTCCGTAATAGTTCGTTTCCGTTACAAATAGAGCATTACCTATGAGAATACAACAACCCATCATAAAATTCATGTACTCTGCTGCTGCTGCTTTGAACAGAAAGAAATTGTATCCTTTTATTGTGCGGGATATTGTAATAATAAATACAAAACTGAATAATCATTGTAGTCGTAGATCCAAATATTACCAAAGACTCTTGACTCTACAACTATTTTCCACCATAATATTTATAAGCAAGACATTGTAGCTTTAACGTCCAATGCATTGTTTGCAGAGAAGTGTCTTTAACAACACCAAAAGTCGGAAGCATTTGTACAACGTAACCTTTCAAAATACTACTATACCAAGCCACTCTTATAACTTGATGATCTATTGATCTGATTTGTATTTATCCAAAGAGGACTGCTTGCGTGGGCTGCAATATAATCCATGGCAGACGTACGTATTAAAATGACATCTAATCTCTATCATTCAATTTCGCACATTCATATTGGGTTCATATTCGTATGTCTGCCATTCATATTGCTTCTAATCTGGTGTTTCATGAACGAACTAAACATATTGAACTTGATTGTCATTTCATTCATGACCTCATCACAAATGACTCTCTTGTCAACTCTCATGTATCTTCATCAAATAAAGTATCTGATGTTTTAGTAAAGCCCTTGAGATTGATCAATTTTCCTACTTATTGGTGAAGTTGGGCATTTGAGATCCGCTTGCTCCAACTTGGGGTGTTCGGCGCTATAATATGGGGCTAGTTATTATTTATTGTACATTTATTTTTTAACTTGCATGTACACATTTTCTTAAGCCTCATCTCTATTTGCAAGAAAACTGGTCCGGAATATACATATAAAACACAGTTATCTTGCAAAAATCATTTGACGGCCTTCTCGATTGAATTTTTTGCTCAAATTTGGTATGGATGAACTAGACTTGATGAGGAAAATACACAAAAAAAAATTGAGCCAAAAATACCACCGGGAACCACCTCAAATTGAGGTGGCCAGACAGGGGAGTGGTCCGGCCTGGCCGGACCTGAACATTCGTGATATATAGGGGTTATTTGAAAGTGCATCAGATAAGGTCTATTTGAAAGTGTGACGTGCACTTTGTCACGGTGCGTCAAAATAAATTCAATACTAGCACTAATACGTAGTATAGTGAAATAGAGTTCGTATCCACAGGGAAAGGAATAATTCTCTTTTTATGAACTAGTAAATAAAAGGGGGGTTTTGGTATTGTTGGAATTTAATTAATTAAATACTAAGATGAAGGACTTATATGAGATTTAATTCAAAGATAAAAAGGACTTGGCATTGCTACTTTCCACTTGTTGATATATTTTAGTCGATCGTTGTTATATCTATAACTTATCCCATCTTGAATACTCAATCGAGGAGTATATCCAATTCATCGAGGGTAGTTATTAACAATGACCGTTCATTAATAACCCTTACTATTAGTCATGTATAGAACACCGCCATATACCGACTTGATAGTAGCATTTAATCTCTTAACTCCTTGATGAAATCAATTGAGATTGATAACCTCAACACAACGGTTTCGGTTTAACCAACAAAATTAATCCCTCTTAAGTTTATTAACCACGACCGTGCATTAATAAACCGAAGTTACTTACTTGTGAAACCATCAACGATTAACCATTGGTTCGTTGAACGTTTCTAGTAGTAATTAATGTTGAGATGTTAACTAATTGTCATCTTAGCAACACTCCCCAACATTAATATAGAGATAAATTAAGGGAAGAATTAATATTCAAGGAAGAAGATTAAATATGAATAATCCTACTATAATTAATGTCAAGATGTTATCTAATTGTCATCTTAGCAACACTCCCCAACATTAATATATAGAGGAAGAAAATAAATACTACTATAACTAATGTCGAGATGTTAACTAATTGTCATCTTAGCAACACTCCCCAACATTAATATATAGATAGATTAAGAGAATAATTAATATTCAAGGGAGGAAGTTAAGAAAATAACTCACAACTTTAATAATTAACAAGCTTCAAGAGCAACAGCAAGAAATGGAAGTTTAGCTCCTCATTTGGAGACTAAACATCCTATAAAAATATAAAATAAATACTATTCTAAACTGAGCTTAAGAGTATGGAAGAAGGGATGCTTTTATTGTGAAGGAAAAGGGGTGTATTTATAGGTGTTTGGAGGTGGCAGGGTTGTGTACCCGATCGGGTATTTTAGGCAGTTTTCCGGAAAATCACTTTTCTAGACATACCCGGTCGGGTATGTAGGCATACCCGGTCGGGTATGAGCCAAAAAGTCAAAATCCTGCACGTTCTTTTGTCTCTCCAGATTCTTATTTTGACACCCGAATCAACTCAACACCCGATCGAGTATTGCCTATACCCGACCGGGTATATGAAATATTTTTTCAATCTTCTTTTTATCTTGTCCCCTTGCACTTTCCTTGATCTTTTGGGGTCCAAACTTGATCCTTTGGATGATGTTGACCTGTTTTAAGCTCATAATAATCCTAATCTAAACAAATTACATCTATCTAAGAAAATTAACTAATTACACCAAAAGTGTGTAATTTTCCAAACAACAACAAATAAAACTAGTTAAAATAGAAATAATACATAATAAAAAATACAACTCTATCAAAGTGCATCAGATAGGGATGAGTTCATATGAAAAAACATCTTAACGTGTAAAATGAGAATTAATCTCAGCCATCCAAAGTGTCGATCTGATACACAATAACCTCTATCTAATGCACTTTCAAATAGACCTTATTCGATGCACTTTCAAATAACATCTATATAATTATATATGAATATATAAAAAATGAAAATACATTTATAAAAAATTAATATGTATCTAAATATTTGCATATCTTTTTTAATTTGCTTACTTATTCCTTACATAGATTAATTTTGCATGTTACAATATCAAGTTTCTAAAACTATTTGGCATTTGTCCCAATTTGAATATTCTGGATCCTAACTAAATAAAGATTATTGTTGATCCCGACAATCTAAATCTCAACCAAATAAAGATTTCTTTAAAAAAAATCCTTACATAATCTTTTGCGATTTTGATGAATTCTTTAAAAAAATCATGATCGAGACTAAGATGTCTTTCTTTAGTAAATAATCATAATATGTATTTATACATTTTATTCATTGGTCACAAAGTTTCACTATGAGTCTACTTAGTTTTGAATTTTAAATAATATATGTTACACATCCTTCTTTTAGTGAATTTGTATATAATTTTTTAAGTAAATTTTACTAAGCCTTGATAGCTTATTCAAAAATTATACTAAATTGAAGTTATAAATAAAAATTATTCTAAAAGTACGTACTAGTGTGAATTTGAGATGATAATTATTACAATATTTTATAAGTAGATGATGACAAATTTGATATAATTATGACCAAAGAATAATGTTGCAACCACTAAATATCAAAGTTAATTTTTAACTAAAGAAATTACATAATCTTATGTTTGATGCTTCATTGTCGGGATTAAACGAGATAAATATTGTAATTATAATTACAATTATAATTATATAATTATATTTAAAAATATAATTACAATTATAATTGTATCTATATTTATAATTAGTTTAATAGGTATAATTTTTTTCATTTTAAATTTAATTTTTATTATTACTATTATTATTATTATTTTTGTATTTGTGATTATAATTATAATTTTATTTAAATTATATTTTTAATTACAATTATAATAATTATAATAATTATAATTATAATTATAGAAATATTCAAATCAGATCAGAAAGATTCAGATCAGATCAGAAGGATTCAGATCATATCAGATCGGAAACATTCAGATCAGACCAGATCAGAAAGATTCAGATGAGATCAGAAAGGTTCAGATCCGATCAAATCAGAAAGATTCAGATCGGATCAAATTAGATCAGAAACATTCAGATCAGATTAGATCAAAACTTAAAAAATTCAGATGAGAAACATTCAGATCAGACGAAGAGAGCATCTTCTTGATCAGGAACCCGACTTAATGTCGGGATCCCGATTTAATCAGGACGGTATACGAGATCATCTGCTTCTGCATAATACTATAGTAAATATAGCTTATCTATACATGAATAACATGATTTCATAGAAAATGCCATATATGTTATATAAAAGGTGAAAAACAATTTAAATGCACATGTTTTCGTATTTTTGTTTTTAGGTGTTTAATTTAAACTGACTCGAAATAAAAGTGTTTAATTTAAGCTGAAATTATTATTTGAAAACGTTTGCTTCAATTTTTTAAACCAAAAGTTGAAAAGCACTTAATCCTCCATTCTAAAACTAAGTTTCCACCTCTTGAACCTAGTAAGCAACCTAAGTACCTAACCAACTAAGGGGGTGTTTGGAACTGATTCTGCTCCTGCTTCTTTTTTAAAATAGAAGCAAAATCAGAATAAGTTTTCAGAAACTGGTCTCCCCCAACTTCTACAAAAACTGATTTTAGGAATAAAATGGGGCACCAGAATCACTTCTGCACTTTTACCAAACACTCCAATTTCTACTTCTGCTCTTTGAAGGAGCAGAAGCAATTTAAGAATCGGATCCAAACACCCCTCAACTAACTAAGCAACCTACTCCCTCCGGTCCTTATTAAAGCTCCCAGTTCGAGTTCACACAGATTAAGAAAATAAATTTGACTTTACTGTTGAGTGCACTGTTTGACACTGTTTGGCACTGTTTTGCACTGTTTTGTTTCCTAAAATGAAAGTGTGAACTTAAATAAGGGACATCCCGAAAAGAAAAGTGAGAACTTTAATAAAGACCGGAGGGAGTATGTGACACCGAGGGTATTTATCATAACAATAATAACCCATCACTGTTGAAAATAATGGGATAATTTGGAATGACTAGCTATACTTCTGCAAAATTAGGAAAGAGTTAAGCATCTAATTACATGAATTATAGTTGATATAATGGGAGCAGAACTAATTAATAAAACCAGATCTAAACATTTGGACGCTTGGAAGCCGAAATTAATTACCTTAGATAAACACAAAGTTAAGGAAGCTAAGAAAATTTAAGGATGCTACAAAGTACAAACCGTACAGAGCAGATCACACTAATCATCTACTGATATTTAATAATTTTTAATACTACAATTGTAATCAATCAAATTAATCATTGCTCTGTTTTCACAGGAAGATGAGGACCCAATCCCAACCATCCCTTGCTCTCTATAACCCCCTTAGAAGATGAAGATGAAGCTGCTACTCCATTGTACTTCAGATTGCTCATTGGATATGGGCCCAAAGACACAATTCTGCAATTCAAGAAAGAATCAAATTTAAAAACATATGCCAAATTCTACACAACATATATTGTGAGGACTCTTTTGCAGCCCCTAAGATTTAATTACCCATTCTACCTATCCTTTCTCTTCTCCAAGAACCTGCTAAGTGATGCCCTCCTTGATAAAGGCAAATCTGCAATGACACAAAAAATAAATGAATACATAAATAATAGACAAATTAATAGACTGTATACAAGTATACAACCCTCTTCCATTAAATCTAACAATAAATCAATAAGTGTATGACTACTAGCGAACAATCAAACCATCTAGGCATGCTATGACTATATTAAGGCCTGAAAGGTGAAATTGCATCCTGAAAGTTAGACAGCAACCCATATCGTACATAGATTTTATACATAGATTATGTACACAAATATTTCTACAACTAATATACTTCATCTTGACACCAAGAAGCTCGGAATCTCTCAGGACATAATAGGTTTCCCTTTGGAAACTCTCAAAAAAATTGTTTTTCGAGCAAAAGATGTTGTTTCCTGTTTCTTGTTTCGTCCTGGTTTTTTTTTTTGTTTCCGTGCAACAGAGACATCAAGTTATTATTGTTTTCTAAAAGAACAAGTACCTGCAGTAACAATAGGAGTCTGAGGAGGTCTCTGGTTGACAAAACAAGGAGGTCGGACAGCCATAGAAACCGGTGAAGGCGAAGGCAGCTGTCTAGGAGGAGGAAAAGGAGACGGCATGCTATTACTGGCCAGAAGCATGATTTCCTTAGCCTTGTCCGCTGGGAAGTCATTGAACACAACCACTTGCCCACCATAGAAAATTGTCATCTGTGCCTTTTTCTGGCCATCCCCCTTTGCCATCCCGCTGAATACAAACCCCCAGAACCATAGTTATTGATTACCAACATCTAGATAGATATTTGTAACTTTTTCATTACATGGAAATTGAAAATTTTATGTGAAAAATTAGGGGTCAGGAACCTTAAATCGGAAATCCTGGTTGCCTCTTCTGCGTTAGGAAACAAATTCATGGGTTTCTGACCGGATTTCTCAATCATCGGCAACAGATCCATTGTCTGTCTCGAATTTCCTGTTTCCAAATTTAGCATAAACAACACAGTTCAATCTCTAGAAATGCCCAAACAGGGATGTTGGGATTAAAAACGCTAAACTCCAAAATCGTATACGGCCGGCCGGAATAGAGCATTTATTAGAACTAATCCGAACTAGGAAATAAACTCAGGAGGGAGAACGATAAAAAAATCATGCAAAGCCAGAGAGATTCCAGGAGGCGCACCGGAAGGGATACAATTGCGGGTGAGGCTAAGGCTGAGATCGCCAAACGAGCGGTTCTCCTTTATGTACTGGCTCAGGCGGTTGCACGTGTTGGAGAAATTGGACCTCTGGCCGGAGAACCTCCCGGCATCTGCAATCTCCGACGAAGTCATGTTTTTCCGGCGATTGCTTGAACCCGTTTACGCTTCTCTCTTCAATCTCGGATGGATGCTCCGGATTATAAAATACTCCACGATTTATCTTTCTTAGGCAAACTGAATGGGCTTTATTTGTTGTTCACATAAAAAAGCACGTGCGTATTTACATACGGAGTTACTCCGTATTATATCTGCGAGTCTCTCTCTGTACGTAACGGCTTGCTTACCAGTTCGGCTACGAAATTATTAGGTGGCCCACGTGCCCAAATTACAAGTTTTTTTAAGGAACGAGTTTTTTTTTTTTTTTTACCTTTTGCTCCGTACTTGACCTTTTAAAAAAGTTGAGCTATGCCGGTGAGGCGGTGATGGTTGAAGTGAGATAAGTTTCGCATTCCAATCCTAACAATTGCATCAATGTATAGGATTAACACAAGAGATTATTATGAAGTCACTTCGTACAAAAATGTATAGGACCTTGCACATGCTTAAGTCACAAGTTATTGCCAATAACTTGTGATTAGAGTTGAATTTGCTCTTCCATTTCACTGACCGGCGGATGTTGATGGCTTTCAGGGATAAAGTGTCATTCTTTTTTAAAAGGAAAATGATGCATGGATAATTGAAAATTCTACTTGCACACGTTGGGTTAGGGTTAGGATGTTTTTACTTGGACTGTAATTTGTCCCAGATCAGTCCAGACCAGACCAGTTCAGACCAGACCAGACCAGACTAGACTTGGATAGTTATAAAAATACAAAGAAACCAGACCTTACCAGACCAGTTCAGACCAGACCAGACCAGACCAGCAAATTACAGTCCAAGTAAAAACATCCTTACACGTCAAATGTAATTGCCTATACACCGAAAATTGTTTTCATTTTAGTAAATGAAGTGTCTATGATATTGAATTGTCTATACACAAACAATTCGCTTTTTGGGTGTCATAAACATTCTTCTCTACTAAAACAAAAATCAATTATTTGTCTATGTGTTTTAATTTCATATTTCATTGCACCTCGGAAGAACCATCCATCAGCGATTGGTTAATCACTTTCAGATACCAACCAGTGGCGGAGCTCACTGTGTTCAAAACTATGCATGTGAACACCCAAAAGTTTGGATCAGAAGTGTAAAATTACACACACACAGATATATATATATATATATATATATATATATATATATATAATTGACTTAATAATTTATTGTACTTTGCTTGTATAATACGAAGTGCTTCTTAATTTGTACGTTATTTCCTAGTTATTTTTTTAAAAGATGTATGTGTAGAATTGTACCATCAAATAATACTCCATCCGTCCCATTTAAAGGTTCTCGTACACTATTCTCCGGTCAACATGCATTGTTCCTAATCTTTTACTTTATATATCGAAAGTTTATGAAATTTAAATTATTTTTTGCAGGTTTTGTAGCGGATTTAATGTAGTTTCTGAATATGTAAATTTTATTTACTAAAAATAATTCTACTAATGACAAGGATCAATTAACTTTATGGTCAGTCAAACATCGTAAATCGTGTGGGAAGCAAAGTGGGACGGAGGGAGTATCATTGCTCATAATTTTAATTGTAAAATAACTTTGAACACCCAAAATTTAGATGTTAGATCCGCCACTGATACCAACTTTTATACAGGGGCTAGAGGATCATCATTTGAAAAAACTCTATCGAATTTACGTCATTGATGACTTCAACCCCCCCTCCCCCCCCCCCCCACCTGAGGTGGATTTTCAGTGTGGGTTTTAGTCGACTTGAAGTCTTGAATTACTTTCACTTGTCATGAGGTGGATTTTGGGTGTGGGTTTTAGTCGACTTGAATCACTCTCACTTGTCATATTGCTATCTTTAACCATTTAGTTTAAGATTATATGACCCATAGTGAGAAAACATGGTTTCACTTAAATTAAAATAAAAAGAAGATGTTTCATTTAGACTAAAACATTCTTATCAAGTCTGATTTGCTGAGTCTGATTTGATTATTTACGCCTGTTTAAGCATGACCTGATCTAATATTCAAATAAATCATAATGATTGTTTTAATGCCATTGACCTTTATAAAGGAATCATATACAGAGAGTATGGAGTATAATTATTCACAAATTATTAATACACAAATATACTTCTTTTACTCTGTATCAAATGTGGAGTGAGCCAATGCTTAGAACCCGCACACCCATCAAAGTTTCTTGTACGCTCTGCGACCTTCGCAAAATCAAAACATTGTGAATCTAATCTAAATTGATTTAATTCGCCCGAACGGATTCAATTTTGGACTCGTGCACATTTCTAATTGTGACTGAAAATGAGGCCGTGACAATAAAATCAAAGTAAAAAATGTTTATTGATGTGATCAAAACTAGATGTGCGAAAACTAGATGTGATTATATTTCGGAGCTAAGTTAGATTGGTTCATACAATTATTTATGACTATATATAGGTCCAAACACCAATCTCACAAAAACTATGGCTTGTCTAAATTGATTAGTTTCTTGTACGCTCTGCGACCTTCGCAAAATCAAAACATTTTGAATCTAATCTAAATTGATTTAATTGGTCCGAATGGATTCAATTTTGGACTCGTGCACATTTCTAATTGTGACTGAAAATGAGGCCATGACAATAAAATCAATCAAGTTATGATGAATACACTAGATATTTGTAGAGCAAACTTAGATCATACTTGGTATTAATAAAAAAAAAGGAAAACAATTGAGATTTTATAATTAATATTTAGGATAAACATGAGCAAGACACAAGAAAACAGAGTTCGAAAACTAGTGATTGGATTTCATTTACAATGTACTAAAGAATAGGCATAAATTAATCTTGTTATTGTTCGTTCTGATTTAAACGTTTTACATCAAAATCATTTCGACGTAAAACGTTTTAAGGGGTGTCCTCAATTTGATGGAATTTTAATGGAGTTCATAATTTCAATCAATTTGTCCTCATAATCCACTAGAAAATTCTATGGAAATATGCCTCGGATTTTACTTAAATCCAATCTAGGGGATCGGGTAAGCTTTTGGAAAAATCTGTTTGTACCTACTATTGTACTCATTTTTGTACCCACCATATCTGTGAGGAGTTTTTTTTTGTCTGTGAATCCCGGTCATAGACAAAAATATGTCTATGAAGACATAGTGGGTACAAAAGTGGGTACAATAGTGGGTACAAGAAGAATCCTAAGCTTTTTCCCTTAACATTTCGAAAACCACGAATCGGGTTAGTCATCGGGCTATTCTTTTCCCAATCAATACATGTAGAGGTAGAGACTAGAGGTTTGAATTATTCTTTGAGGCGAGAAAAGATGGAATTCAAACACGTGTTATCGAGTCTTATGGCACATGTGCGCTGGCGTGGTTCGTGTATTTCCTGGGTATGGGAAACAGTCGTCGCTCTTCCGGGATTTGTTTAGATTTTTACTCCATCTTTTCCACCCAACTTTGCGTCTACATCCTTATGCTTCTTCACTTTCTTTTTCCAAACAAAAAGTACCGAGGGCATCATCTTTCTTTGAATTGAATGACATGATTCGAAATCATAACATTATTTTATTCGAAGTTGTAAGATTATTTAGTTGTTTACAAATCATACGTTTTGGAACGATTTTGACATAATACGGTACCGTATTATTCCGTTTTAAAACATGGCCACACTAGGTAAGTTATATCATAGAATCAGCTGTACGGTGAGCATCGTACATCCGAATATTTTTGTAATTAAATGTGTCACTTACTCACTGCAACTCAATCAACAAAGGAATACAACCAAAATGGACGTATTGTGCTTGTCTCTTCTAGATTCCGGCTACACGGAAATGCTCTTAACATAGGCGTCCGTCGTTTGCAGGGGTGTAGCTAACAGGGGGCCATCATTAGCCCCGACCTAGCCCAAAATCTAAAAGATATCCAATTTTTTAGTGTAAAATATCCTAAGTAAATTTTTTTCAAAAATATTCTTTGTACTGGTTCATCCTAACCCAGTGTCCTGGCTCCATCATCATTTATGAGTAGTCTCACGTAAACAAACCTCAAACAATCTAATCTTTCCACTTTAATGAATCCTTCAAATAATCAAATCACATTCATCAAACCAGTCTACGATGTGTTACATCTAAAAAGATCCTTTGATATAAAATCAAATGAGTGTAAAATCTAAAATGAATTAGCATAAACAAATAATCTTTTGAACTTTTTGATATTCATTTTGTAAATTACGTATGTTCATTTGGTACTGGTTTTATGCTCATTTAAAAATGTTATATTGATGCATATAAAATCTAAATTAATCTTAACCTATCTTAATAAAGGTCACTTTTCATCATTAAATGCTCATTGCTTCTTCATGTTAAGCTAAAAGGTGTAGTACCTTGTGCTATTCGAGTGTTCCATTGAATTGCCGTTCTCCAATTTATATGACGGCGTTTAGATTTTTTCACACCGTCAATTCAAGTATATCAACTGTCATCTACGAACCATCTTTCCCAACTCTTCAGCTATACCAGCTCTTAATTTTCCCCAACCCACTTCATGAACCCCTCATCTTCATCTGTTCAAGAAGATCTAGCATCTCTCATCAATAGATCTTAAGCTTTCGGTATATAATGAGGTTTCGACTTCCATTTACCACCTTCTCACGGTTGTTGATCAACATTCTTCCTTGCACCCGTTCTTTGCTTAGGGTTGGTTTGTAACTCCTTTTAAAAAAGCACTTCTCAGCTTTTGGCTTTAAAAAAGCACTTATTTTTCCAAACGCTACAACTTTTATTTTTCTCGGCTTCCGCGTCAAAAGTGCTTTTACTTTTTCTATTACACAAAAAACACTTATTTTACCAAACACTACCCACTTTTACTTTTTAAAATCACTTTTTTCTCAAACACTATCAACTTTTATTTAATCACTTCTCCTCATTTCATTAAAAAAAAGCACTTTTTTAAAAGCAGAAACTGTTGCAACAGACCCTTAATGAGCTATGTATTACATTTTTTAATTGCTTCCTTACATGTTATTCCTTGTTATTAAAAGTAATGCAATGTTTGTTCTTTACGTATGAGATCTTCAATTATTTCTTTGTGTGTTTTTATCTCATGGAAGTGTGTCATTTTTCCCTGCATTTTTTTTGTGTTTTTTTCTTAATGAATTTAGCAAAACAAACAGTTACTTAGAAGGTGTTTACACGGTGTTTCCCAGTAAAGTCATTGTAGGACAGAAGTTTATGGTGTATATATGTTCAATAGGAAAGAAAACTATAAGCACACTACATGTTTGATAATATGTCAAGGCTCTTTCATTGCACTTGCCTTCAAGTGTTGTAGTTTTTGCTGCGTTTTTTACTGCAATTTTTTGCGGCATAAATTATGTTTCTTATGTGACACCGCACCCGAACGTCCTTGAAAATTCGATTTAAAAATTTAACATTTATGTATTGAATTTCCGATTTGCCAAACAATTGTAAAGCGATTAATGTTCTACGTAGTGCACGATTGAATATCGTACTGTTCAAACTCGTATGATAGTGTCGGGTTTGCAAACACTTTTTGGGACTTATTAATAAATAAAAGAGCTCAACATTATCTAAATAAGTGATCGAATGATTAAAAAGAATACCAATGCCTACAACCCTATCTTTGGCATTTTTGAGCTAAATAATGGAAGTAGGATTTTCCTTCTATAATATCCATCAAGTAAATTATTGGGATGAGCCTACACATATTGGAGATCAATAATGTGATTTAGGAAGTTGACTTGTTCTAAATAAATTAGGATGAGTACAAAAAGACATCTTTTGACAAAGATAAAACAATAGGACCCATTTTCCCCATTTTTGGAAGTATTGGTAGATAATTTGGATCCCAAAATGATTGGGATCAATTGGGAACCACTCCACATGATATTAGTACCTGCAAGACAAATAAAAATGGGTTAGGAAACTTACCTTGGCCGACCACCATGGAGAGGAGCTGCACAAGACTTGATAGGAATCAAATGTTGGGCCACCATCCCTATTTTCGCACAAAATGGTGTGCTGGTTGTCTCCACTCATTATGGGAGTTATACTCGACCAAATGAGGTGTATAAGGTGTCCTTGGATAGCCTTTGAAGTCTAGTATCTCAATTGAGTGGTCTTTGTTCGAGGAGAGAGAGCTTATCTTACCAGAATCGAGCTGAAGTGAGTGGTGGTCTGTAAACTCGAGCTGTGAGAGTGCTGAGACTGTTTGGTTGATATCTCGAGTTATACCAATCCAATTAAGGCGTGTGAGATACCCAAAGAAAGCTCTCAAGACGAGGAATCTGTGAAGGTCTGGTTTGCATCAATCGGAGTAGTGGAAGGCTTCCAAATCGTCCGAGCAAAACACAACCTCGCAGAAACGGATCTACTTTAATTTTCTAAAGTAAGTTGTTAACCCCAAAACCTTTCCTTTCATTTTCCCAAATGATATGAACGATTGGTGGAACTATTGTACACTAATAAAAGTGTATGAAAGGTCCTTATAAAGTTATTTTATTGATGTAAAGGTTAGATACTAACCTAGAGCAAATCTTGGGAAACTAGGAAACGAGTTAATCGGAAAACACCCATTCTAGGGGTTGTTTTCGTATCAACGATTAAGGGTTGAACTAGCACTTTGAGGAGGCTGTTTAACACTCATATTTGAGCAAGGAATAAGTTCCAAACCCACCTTGACCAAAGCTTTGACAATTGGACCAAGAAGGGAAAGTTTAAAGCTCAATTGAGGTGAGGATTGACATCTAATTGCTTACAACTTGTAGGTTAAGCATGAGATTACCTAAATGCTTAAATCATTATTTTTCATGGATTATGATGATCATATATTGATGAAATATTGATATAGTTGCCAAAGAATGAAATTTGAAATGATTTGAGAATGTATGAATAATATGAGATTTGATGAGTATAAATGAACTATTTTTGCGAAATAGGTATTTTGCTCATGTATGAAGTATTTGGATACATAAATGAATAATTGTGTATTGAGATTGAATACTTAAGTTGCTGCTACATAATTATAACTACGTAGAGAATTACAAATAAAGAGGATAGTGGTATGATAACAATAATCTTAATAGTATTGAAATACTAGTTAGTGATTATTGGAACTTGTTGATTAAATTGATCCTAGGGATTGAATTGTATGAAAGGTACTTGAATATAGTTCAAGTGTATATAATAACTTAGTATGGAACTAAGGTTAAGTTATGGGAAGTCTTTAAGGATGACCCATGGCAGTTTAATGATATGTCAATTCTAGGCATAGGGTTGCTTGAGAATTGGACCTTAATGCATGGTGATGTAGTAGAGCCGAGCTCTAGAATGCATGTAAGGTGTAGACTTGTAGTCTATGTATTGTATAGCTAGAGCCGAGCTCTAGGGCTTGCGTGGTGATGTAATAGAGCCGAGCTCTAGAACGCAAGGTAAGGAATTGACCCGAGTGACATGAATTGTATGGTGATGTAGTAGAGCCGAGCTCTAGAATACAATGTCATGTGTTAGGGTTGGACCCTATTGAGTATCGTGGTTTGTAGCCACAGGAAATGGGAATGGTGATTTCTAAATGAACATGGGCCCACGGGCTGACTACTTGACTTTTACCTAAAGTAAGTATATTTTCAAATGGGTAACTTAGGGTTACAATCATAATATACTATCACCCTATTTGAGGGTCTTGTGCTTGAAATACTTGTTGTATATCTATTAGATGCCTGCCACACCAGTACTTTATAGCCGTATAGAGTACTGACCCCTTCGGGGGCATCCCACCACCATTTCAGGTTGAGGCTAGAGCTTGCTTCCTGTGCTCGTTGCCCGAGTGATTTCCCCGGAGAGAAGACTTGGTTCGTGCTTCCTCCATTCAGTTTTAGAACATTAATAAATATGCTCATGGATATTTTACTTTAGAGCCTGCGTGCTCATGTTTGCCCTGTGTGGCCCTTTGTTTTAAACAATGTTTTCCGCTGCGTATTGAATTACTTATTATGCATGTTTATGGATGACTTTTGTGTGAATGATATTCATGACGCCTTGTATAATATGAATGTGTTGGACTGCGGTTGACTATTCGTATTGTACGGCGGGTTGTTGACGTGTCCGGGGAGGTCCGGGGCGTGACATCTTAAGACTTGAATTGTGATTACATGGTCTACACAAGATCAATCAATCTTGAAATACAGTGGAAGGGAGTTTAGAGTACTTGATTCATTTGGTAAGAATGTCTGCGAAGTTGGAAAAGAAAAAATGGATCTATACGGAGGTGTGGGAGTGGATATGGAGAAATATCATCGATCCAGAGAACAGAATGGGTTGTCACGTGGTAGATGCAGCTGGATCAGAGCTGCAGTTCAAGTGCCGGTTGGAAGAGTGGAGCAGAAATCAAGAGTGATGGTGGACAGATTGGGGACTCTTTTTGGGAACATAGCAGACTATTCAGCACGTCCAAGCACTCAGTCCCCCCGAACATCAATGTGAACTTCTCGGTGATGAACATAGCGGGAATAGAGAATGTGCCAACGATGGACAGAAACTTCAATTTGAGGACTTTCCTGGTGGCTCCTAAGAACTTCATAATTCTAGACAACGACGAGAGGATGAGGGGAACCACTCTGAGGGAGGTCTGCAGAAGCTTTGCGAACTTTGCCCTTGAGTACTACAATGAGGACATGGAGAGAATGGGTAATTTAGCTGAGAAAATCTTGCAGCTTGCTTTGTTAGCAAGAGTATGTTTGACTTTTCAGATGGAATAAGTGCTAACTTTATCACTCCCTTTCCAAACAAAGCAAAGGTCATTCAGGAATTGAACAGTAGGTTGTTGCAAGCTGGTGGAACTAAGGCAACATTTGAAGCCAAGGGTACAGTTAAAGGATCTTTGAATTTGATAGTGTGAGCAATCCAAGTCTTTTACCGGTTAGACGTTAAAGAACTGGATAGTTTTAAATAAAAGTCAAGTACTAGTGAATGACTATAAAAGTCACTGTATTCCGTTTATGTTGATTTTATTGTTTGAAATAAATGGATCCACTTAGTGTGTTTATCTAATGAAATACCATTTGACCTGTGGTATAGGAAGGTTTGTTCAAAATTGAACTTTGACTTCAAGAAAGAACTTGAGATATCAAAGGGATAGGAACGTACGATTGAACTACATCTCATTGTTTTAATATATAGATGACCACAAATATAGCAAATTTCTATATAGATAATTATTATATGAGCATATGTTAATTGGGCCAAATGAAATACCATGTGACCTGTGGTATAGGAACATATATACGATTGAACTACATCTCATTGTTTTTGAAAATTAATACTTGGTATATGTTATGATATACAGCAAATAAAATTAACATTTCATAAAAGAAATACCAAACTCATTAAAATTGAGAGTTGGGCATATTACGTTCGCGCAATGCGCGAGCAATTTACTAGTTGGAACTATATGGTATGGCATGTTTAATTAAGTTTGATAGATCTAATTTGATCTATTTTGAATTATTAAATTTGGTAGGAGATAGAAATCAATTCAATTAAAACCATTCTAAACGAGAATTTCATGATTATTTGTTCACATATACTAGTACATGAACTGTATTATATACGCAGTACTTTGCATAATTTAGGAAAAATTGATAGTATTAATCCCAACAATTGGCGGTCTGCTCATAATAATCCATACTATTGATTATTACAGAATAATCCCAACTTTAGGGACCTTCCGCCAATAATAGTCCCTATGAATAAATTCTTGTAGTTTCTAAAGTGGATGAGATGAGATATAACAAGTAATCCCTATAAATAATCTTAACTTTTAATTTTTACAGAAGTAATGTATGGCTATGGACCATTATTGGCGGATAGTCTATATAGTTGGGATTATACAAAAATAATCAATAGTTGGGATTATTTTCAGCGGACCAGCAATAATTGGGATTATTATTTTCAATTTTTCCTATTTTATACGGAATATTAAGTTAAATTCATAATGAAAAAATGTCTAATAATAAAAACCGAAACAAATGAAGTATTGTACCACTTTAATACCGATTGTGTTATAAAATATAGTCAAAATTGATTTGCATTTATAATAATAATGAAATAAATATTCTGCTGGTAAGATTTATGTAGATGACAGGTAAATAAAATAAGTTTGATCACATATTGATTGCTTTAACAAGAAAAGCTACTAGAACAAAAAAAAAACTACTATAGTTTTGTGGGACACAAGGAACATTTTTTACTCAAAATTACAATCAACTTATAATCTATTTTTGTGAATTAATTAACGATTTCAGCTTATTATTGTAAGTTTTTCAAGCTTGGACTTATTTTTGTTATATACATACAAATTATTGATACCAATTTTACAACTTTATATCCAGCAATAATCTCATTTCGATATTCACCAAGATTGGGGGCAAGATGAGAGTCACTCCCTTAACCCGGAACTTCTCCGTGATTGAATAGCCTAAATCTGAAGCCCTTTTCGCATGGGTAATTTGTCTTGTAAAACGCTCTCCTTCTAATTCTTGAGTTTTTTATTGATTGAAATTTTCTCATCTATTTTGATCTCCTAAGTTTAAATGTGATTTATTTAAGCCCGATCTATTTTATTTAGAGCCTGTTTGGTAGCATGAAAATCGGCTAATTTGGCTGATTCTGCTGAAATTTATGAAGTTCTGGATGAAGTGGCTGCATTGGCTGATTCTGATGATTTAAGGGGAAAAAAATTAAAATATATTTTATGAATAAAATAAAAAAAATATATGTAAAAATAGCTAAAATGATCATCTATAGTAACTTCAGCCAATACTGTCAGAAAAGTAACTTCAATCTTACTTTTTCTGCTTATTACATAATTCAACGCGTGAAAGCAAAAATTACGTATTAGATGAAAAAGTTGACTGATAAGATTGATAAGCCGACGAAAAAAGTGATTTCACACGACTTCTTTAGTCTATTTTGACCTGATCTTATCCGATACGGTCGGTCAAAGTAAAAACCGCAACGCCGCAGCGGAAAGGTTGAAGTAAAGGACTACGGAGTCTAATACGGAGTATAAACCATACGAAGTAAGTACTGTGTGTATTGTACGGTTCTTAACAGTGACGGAGTTATGTGCTACTCCTCATAAATTGTTTTTATGGATATTATTCGAAATAGAACTAAAATGGTTGAAAATTCCAAAATAGGATTGTCATGTTTTTATTCTCAAAATATGACTAATTACTGCCATATTTTGGCAGTATTAGACTTCAAACATGACAGTACTTTCCAAACTTGGCGGTAATTGCTCCTATTTTGGAAATAAAAAACATACGTGAATAAAAACTCGAGCCGCGCCGAGCCGACGGTCAACGCACATGCAGCTCGGTCGAGGCGGATTTCCGAACACGTGGAGGAATCTGGGAGGTGTTGTGACGGAGGAAGCGGTGACGCTTTTCTCGTGAAGTGTGCTGCGAAGCATGTGAATATATTTCTTTTCAACTTAAATTTTGGGGCGACAGGAATGGGAGGTTGGGGCGGCCAGCTGGCCCCACGCACCCTATCCCAAATTCGTCACGTTATCTTCGTGTTTACGCCTCCCGCTTTTCCCTACTGTATAAGACTATAAGGTGCTAATCAGTACTGCAAATTTTTGTTTCGATCCCTTTCCATTTATTAGGCTTTTATTCCACAACAACCTATACAACGTGAAATATGTGCACCTAAATACGAGTAAATTTAGCCCATGTCAAGGGCGGAGTTAGGGCACTGGGCCGGACTGGGCTGGACTGGACCGATACAAAAAATATTTTTGGGGAAAAAATTACACGGAATTTTTTACACTAAAAATTTAGATATTTTAAAATTTTGGGCTGGGCCAGGGCCACGGTTGGCCCTCCCCTAGCTCCGCCCATGGCCCATGTTATGTCAAATTTTCCAAACATGATTAAAAACATTTTGAAAATTAAAAATTGAGATATTACTTGTACTTATATAGTGTTATATGATAAATATGGAGTAAATAAAAGTCTATTTTGAGGTTTACAGATCTAAATCTATTTTTAACAATTTATCATATTTTTTCCCCAAAAAAACAATTTAACATATTTTTTATTTTTATTTAGGATGATTTCAATTTGAAAAATTCAAAGGATCACAGTTCATAGAATATGGATGTATTTGTTCTTACACTCATACTATAAGGGGTATATTTGTGCCTTTTCCCAAATGAGAAACTAAGAGCTCGTTTGGCAATTCTAAAATCGACTGAATCGACTGATTCTGCTGAAATTTATATAGTTCTGGCCGAAGTGATTGAATTGACTTATTCTACTAATTTAATAAAAAGTTAGATTTAAAATATATTTCATTAATAAAATAGCAAAATCATTATATGTAATTTCAGCCAATACAACTAGGACAGTAACTACAACCTTAATTTTAGTAACATTTTAGAAAAGGGGTTTTAATGGAATGTTTAAAAGACGGTTAAATGCTTGAAAAGTAATTTTTTAAAATTGGAGACGTTTTATATGAAAAGTTCATATCCGATCCAGCCCGGTTATTTGAAAATCCAATCCGATCTTAGCCCGGGTTACATGGGTCCAGCCCCTGGTCTTAATTGATTTTCAAATTAGAATTCATAAGAGGACGACATTTTCACGTGACGGAATTGGAATTTCATAAATATTTAATAGATCAGACTTGATTACAGAATTGCAATTCAATTAAAAATGTCATATATTAAAGTTGTTTGAAAATAAAAATTATTTTTATGAATCAAAAGTCTATTTTTATGAAAAAGTTATTGTTTTTGTATGATAAACAATGAAAATCAGGGTTGGTTTTTAGGATATTCAATAAGTTATCTAGAATGGGGCCCGAGAATTTAAGAGGCCCCATAATTTTAATTTTCTTCTAAAATTATATAGTATGTGGTAATATTATATATTAATACTAATCAGTAAAATACGTACGTTTAGTACGGAAGAAAAATATAGATTCATCATTTTCGTTGGTCCTTTTACTTTTTTAGTTCTTTTTTAATTAATTAGTATCCAATTGATTTGAATATATGTATTTGAATTGAAAGTTTTTCTATTTTTTTATATAAATGTGGGGCTTCGATTTAACATTTAGAATCTGGGCCTCCTAATTCATGAGACGACCCTGGTGAAAATAATCTACTTTTATTATGTTTAATTTTTAGGAAAAATGGAAATTAATAATCCAATCTTTTAGCGGTCTTCTTACAATAATCCAACCATTTGGTTATTCATGAATAATCCAACCTTTGCACCTCATCTTCATTCACTGGTCCCTGACTGGTTGATTACCTGCTATTCCAAGCTATTTTCTTATCATTGCAAATCATTATACCATAAATCTCATCTTTCATAAAGATAATATTTTGCAAAGATAAGAAAATAACTTGGAATAGTAGGTGAAATTAACCGATCTCGGACCAGTGAATGAAGATGAGATGCAAAGGTTGGATTATTCATGAATAATCAAAATGTGAAATCATTGAAAGAAGACCGCTAAAAGGTTGGATTATTAGTTTCCATTTTCCCTAATTTTTACGGTATCTTGGAATTATTCGACATCGTGTAAAGCAAAACCGGAAATAACTTTTGTTAGTTTGATGCAAATACTCCCAACTCCGTATGTACGGGCTTTGAATGAAATGCTTTTTGAAACAGCCTAATGGCCATTTATATTCTACTCCCTCCCAAACCCCTTAAAATTTGCCAACTTTAATTTTTTTTGAATGTCCCATTAATTTTGTTATTTTTCTTTTTAAGTAAAAAATTTGTGATTCCCATTAATTCTCTCTCCTCTACACAAATTTGTTATTTTTACTTTATTAATTCCCGTATTAATCAAACTTGAAAAATTTATGATAGGCTCAAGGGTCAAATAGACTCTCGAACTAAATTAAAAAGTGCAAATCATCCCTTATATAGGAGACTCTATCCGGCTGTCACCAATTGGGGCGGTTCCCGGTGAATTTTTGGATGAAAGTTTTTTAGCATCTTCTTCATTATGTCTAATCCACTCATACCAAATTTGAGCTAAAAATTGAATTGGGAAGACAGTCAAATGAAATTTTGCAGATAATTGAGCAGTTAAACAGCGCACTACATTTCAGAAAATCATTTGACTGTCTTCCAGGTTAAATTTTTATCTGAAACTTGGTATGTGTAAACTATACTTAATGAAGAAGATGCTCAAAAAAATTCATCAAAAAATTTCATTGAGAACCGCCCCAATTAACAACGGTCGGACAGAGTCACCTCTACAGGGCTGAATTACACCTTTTAAGTTAGTTGGAGAGCATATTTGGCCCTTTAACCTTTATTATAATACGGAGTACTACGTATATATAGGGGGTGTTTGGAACTGATTCTACTTTTTCTTCTTTTTTAAAAGCAGAAGTAGAATTAGAATCAGTTTTCAGAAGTTGGTACCCCCAGCTTCTAAAAAAACTGATTCTGAGAGTAAATTAGAGCTCCAGAAGTGCTTCTGGAATTTCACCCAAACACTTCAGCTTCTACTTCTGCTCCATAAAGGAGCAGAATCAGTTTTGAGAATCAGATCTAAACACACCTGAATAAAATAGTACGGAGTAAAATGAAGCTTAGCGTTGAAGGGGTCCAGGTGAGTGCTGTGCGGTCCCCATATTTTCTGTTCATTTTTGGAAGGGGAAACACGTTTGAATTTATGGCACGACTTATTCAACGTAATAATGCCACTATTTACTGATCCAATTTGGGCTCTGACAGTGGCAGCCCCGGGGCAGGAGAGGCGGGTATAGGCCCAAGAAGTTGGAAAAGGTTTGGCCCAATATTATTTCTGCACAGCCCAATGATAACGGCACAAGTGTAGCAAACGGCCCAGTAATACGGACTTCAGTCTTCGTACCCGCCCACGCTTGGCTGCGTGCCGCCAACCCCTGCCTTCTCAGTCCAATCGGCCCTTCTCCTCACCTTTAGGTTTCAATCGTTCAATGCTTCACGGAGTTTACGCCTTACACCTTCACCACTTCAGCCTTCAGGTAGACAGGTACTCCTCCGACTTTTTTTTTATTATTTGATTAGTAGGATTATTTGATTAGTTTAGTAATTGATTTAATTCATAGCTGTTTAATGTTTGTTAATGAATACGAAGTATGTGATACATAATTAGTTGATTTGTTGGCTGTTAAGTGAGTGAGAGTAAATAAATGTTTTTTATGTATAGTTCATATTCTTAATTCTTGATTGTTAATAAGTTCATAGTTGGTGTTGATTGTTGAGTTTTAATTGATTAGTGATTTTGCTATTGTGTAATTCAATTTGGATTTTGTGTTGGTCTTATAATTGTTGATTTCGTTCATTAAAAATTTTCACTTGTAGTTACATTTATAAAAAAATAATTAATTTCAAGGAGAAAGAAAAAAACGAGAAAACATTAGAGAATGTGGAAAATTTGTTTGTGTGGTAGTCCAATTTAGCCAAAGTTGTTAGTGTGAACTCAGAGATTTAATTTAATGAATTTAAGTCTTTTATTAATAAAATGGTCTTCAACCATAAGACCACAAACATATACAGTATACACAAATAATACATAAAGAGATAATACTCCTAATATGAGTAAATCATATTAAAATGGAAAAAATAGGAGTAGATGTTTAAAATTTCCTAAATAGGAGACCTTTTGTGATTGAACAAGAGTACCCCCAGGGGTTGGGGTTTGCCACTGCCCACTGGGTTGCTGCTGCTGGTCGCTGGAACAACGCCGTCGCCAATCGCCATAATTTTGCTGCCAATAGGCTGCTGCCACCACCGGATTACCCCACCACCAACAGACAGACCTTGGTTATGCAAGAGAACTTAGGAGAACAATTAATTACTCCCTCCATCCCGAAAAGATTCACCAAATTGACTTTTCTTAGTCAATTACAATCAAGTGTGACCAATAATATTTTTTAATACGAAATTATTTAGAATATTAAAATTATATCAAAATATTCTCTATTCAAAATATTTTTCTGAAAGTTTAAACTTTATCAATTATATATAAATATAATAATTAAAATTATTGTCCAAAGTTTGCCATTATTGACTAAGAAAAGTTAATATGACAAACTTTTTTGGGACTGAGGTAGTATAACTTAGGGCTTGTTTGCAAGCTAAGGGTGAGACATATATTTCATAAATAGATTCCTCAACACAATTCTCCAGCCGTCCTGCTTTGGTAAAGGAATGTTACTCTGTTTGGTCATGCTGGCGATGCCAAGCATGCTCAGGACAGATCTAGTCCTAAGAAAGTCACGACCCATATTGTAATCAATGTTGTTGGGATGCCTTGAACTACCTTAACATGGAGATGTTTGATATCGGTTATGTTTGATCTGTTTTGAGTTATTTTAGTAGGGTGATTTTGTCGCCCATGTGTTTTGGAGAGTGTATTGAGGTTATCTTTTACTCCAAAAACATCTAAAAGTAAAAAGTACGTCTGAATTTCCTCAAAACTAGCACTGAAGTAGCCCTGTCAATTATAGCAGCGCTATAGTGCCCGCTACAGCTGCTTTTCTTCCTGCTATAGCGCCCCCTATAGCCGCTATTGCCAACTGCTCCCGCACTCCGCTATAGGCAGTCTCATAGCGCCTAGCCCCCGCTATAACGCTGCTATAGCCCACTATTGACATCACTGCCATATGCCCCTCAGATCTTAAATACCATTCTGAAATAACCGTAATACTTTGATGTTTTGAGACCTGCTTACTTGCAAGTTGCAAGTAATCGGGTTTCCAATTTTTCACTTGCTGGTTTTGCTTCCAATTACACACTAGGCTAAGGCAATGAAGTATGTAATTATTCCAGATTTTCAGATCCACATTCAGTTTGCCGGTTCACAACTATTTGATGTTCGTTATCAGTGCTCGACCTTTTCCAGTGCTCCAACGTGGTAGTGAGCCAATAGAGCATCTTCAAGTTGATGAGCTCTAGTTTCCCAAGGTCACCAATGTCTAATGATTGTCAGGTTTTTTCTTCGCCTTCTGTATTATAAATTGAACTCGTAACTTGTACTCCCTCCGTCCCTTTTTATTTAGCCTAACACTATTTTTCAAGTCAATCGTGTTAACTTTGACCGATTATATATTTATACACGGTAATATTGAGAATATGAAAATAATATGGAAATGTTATTTGCTAAAAGTGCTATCATAAAAGTATAAATTTATTAAGTTTCATTTTCAGGGGATTTGAGAGAGTAGGAGCACGTCATCTTTTAAACTTTGGTTTGAATTTGAAGTTTAAGGTAAAGAGCTCGATCAAACAAATTCACATGGAAAATACTCAAACCAGGAGCAATTCAAGGGGTGCATTGGTTGTCTTTGAAGGGCTGGATCGTTGTGGAAAGACATCACAGTGTAGTAGATTGGTAAAATACTTGGATGACATTGGGCACTCAGTTCAGGCGTGGAGATTTCCTGATAGAAACACCTCTATAGGCCAAATGATATCTTCGTATCTCGCCAATAAGTCTCATTTGGATGATCGTGCAATTCATCTGCTTTTCAGTGCCAACCGCTGGGAAAAGAGGTATGGTTCTCTGGGTTCTCTGTCATGTGATCAAAGTAACCGCCTTCTTGTATTTGCTAAATGATGGTTGTGCCTAAAATAAAGGGAAAAGTGCAAACACACTCTTGATGTTTAGGTGTTTAGGTGCAAGTGCAGATATGCTCCAAAATTTTTGGTGCCTACAATTTTATGGGTTCCAAACAGACCATTTATTAATGCTTAAATTCTTCCAGGTGGTTTATAAATTCCTCCAGTGTCAACTGAAAATGTAATTGCAGGTCATTGATGGAAGAAACTTTAAACAGCGGAACTACTGTTATTGTAGATCGTTACTCTTATTCTGGAGTGGCATTTTCATCTGCAAAGGGACTTGATATCCAATGGTGTAAGGTATAAGCATTGATCAATGTTACTATGTAAATTCAAGGTTTTTATTGGTCCATATTATGAGACCTCTTAATGTGCAGAACCCTGATATAGGACTGCTTGCTCCAGATCTAGTGCTGTTCCTTGATATATCACCTGAGGTAATCATTTTTATTTTCAGTTTGAATGCATTAGGAATTGGAGAAACAGTAAGGAAGGAGGCGTGTGATACATTCCGTGAAAAGTGGAACTTAATTCACTTTCGACAAGGGAATCATTTTCTCACTTCCATCCTTGTCATCCACTTTCCTTTCAAATTAAAGGAATTAAAGCCTTGCAACTAATATTGTTCACGTTCCACTAAAGCTCAAAGAGTCACAGTGCATGTGTTATGATGTAAAATAAATGGGTGGAAGGGTGTTTACTTTGGTACCACTAGTATGCGGTATCTCATACTTTTTCAGGATCTTTTGGGCACATTTAAAATGGTATTCTAGTAGGGGCCCAATATAACTTCTTTCAATGGCAAACACACTCAATTAGTCAATTATAATTCATGACAAACACCCCCTTAGCATTGCATCCTAGAGTCCAATTCCAACCATTGGCACCGGCGTGTACGTGTGGTGCTATTGCTTTTTTAAATTACATATCTGGATGCATGCTTTTTCAGGGTGATTATGATATGAATGATACCACAATGTAAATTGTCTGCTTTATGTGAAGCTGATCATCTTTAGGTCACTAAGAATTAATTCATTATTGAAATATTTTAGAGAGCAGCTGAAAGAGGAGGTTATGGTGGTGAGAGGTACGAGCAGTTGGAGTTTCAGAAAAAGGTTGCCCAGTCATACCATGCCCTTCAGGATCCATCATGGAAGGTAAGGGACATTAGTCCAAGTGTGGCTGGGTCTTTATGTTTGCCGTTTTACCTCTTATTGTATTCAAAAAAGGGAGGGGAGAAGTAGTGGAGATGGGAGGGGAAGGAAATGAGAGATTTTTAGAAGTATGCTATGTTTGGTTTGAAATACGGAAGAGGGAGGGAGGCTGATGGTGGCAGCCACCTCTCTTAACTCCTTGATTATATGGATTTATGTGTAATGAATATTTTAGACAAACCATCATTTTCACCACCTCCTTAATCCCAACTTGTGGACATGAAATTGTTAGTCTTAATTAATTATTTATAATTACTTACCAGTATAAATGAGCGCCACAAAAAGAGGCAGTAGTGTTTTATAAAAGTATGTTAAAATATTGTATTTTGTAATTAAAAAGAACTAGTAATGTATTTGTACATGCAGTAACTATGCAACATAATTTTACAATGACTTAAAATGCGAAATATTGATTTGTCTGTATAATACTGCAGTTAGGAAAATAAGTTTTTCCACTTATCAGCCTAAATGTCTTAACTATTGATCATTCTCTATTTCGCTGATTAGATTGTAGATGCAACCCTTCCCATTGAAGACGTTGAAATAAAACTGAGAGAATCTGTGGTAGAATGCATGACAGAATGCCTAGAGGGAAAACCCTTGTTGTCATTGTGGTCGAACTAGCTTAGTTTGTTTATGGCCTTTACTCGTAAGGGTCCATGTTTCTGTATACTTGTGCATTACAGTTCCTCTGGCGACTTCTGTGCAATGTAAGGTATCATCACTTATCAAGTCTTCAGTGACATTATTTAGAATTAATGTTTTCTTTTTTCTTTCTTGTAATTTCTGTCCCAAAAAGATTGCTCTTTGACCACATTTACCATTTTTAACCATTTTGTAAGATTCTTGTAAGTCATTGGATTTTTCTTTTCATTTTTCAATTTGTATGCGGTAGCTTTTTATCAATCTGTGGATAGGGGTGGAACCGGAGCCGCCCAACTTGTCTACGGTGTTGGGTCCTCTAAATTGGGACTTGACTGAACAAGGCCAATGCGAGTTAGTTTCTACTTTTTATTATGATTTTAAAATAGGGTACTTGGACCGGTTTGTGACCGGTTCCAGGTAGGCATGGACCTGGGTCAGTCCGATCTTGGTTCTGGGCCGAGACTGTCCGGTCCCGGTTCCGGGCCCAGACTGCCCGGCTCTTGCCAATTGAGAGTGAAGATTGGGCTTGACCCGGGTCTTAAGGTCTCCGGGCTGGTTCTGTGTACCAGGTCGGTCCGGTCCCAGTTTTTAATTTTTATTTTCACAAATTTGGAATAAATAAAAAATTACTGTAGGGACCTTGACTCCCGGTCCCAAAAGGCCAAAACATGCAACCTGGGAGGCTGGGATCAGGTATCCAAACCCACGAAATTAACACATTTCACATGTATAAGTGTATAAGTGTATTTCATTAGTGATACTTATTTAGTCCATAAGAGAAAAAATCAGGGCCGGTCCTATCTATTTTCGGGTCTGTAGGCGGGATAATATCTTGGTCTTATGTTCAAGTCAAATAATAAACAATATTTATTTAAAATAATAATTATAATAAAATCATCTTATAAAGGTCATCAAATAAAAATGAAACTCATTTTGTTATTATTATTATTATTATTTAAATTACATATTTGGTGAAAAGTAACAACACAAGTATCACATAAAAAACATTACTTAAAAACGTTTCTCACAGAATTTTCAAGATTCAATTTCTTAACAAAAATAAAAATTTCAATTGATCCATGCTAACTTAACTCTGTCTTTTCTTATCTTCTTTTCTTTCTCTCTTTATCCCATCCTGATTCATCAATTTTATCAAAAATATTTTATTTATCACGGATGGATTGTTTGAAGTCTAGAAAGAAGAAGTTTTTTAGTCACCGACCACCGTTTGGGCTTCTGGATTGATTGATTTCAATTCTTAACAAATTGCTGAGACACTCACTACTCTGCAACATTTTTTACTCTTGTTGACATTGGAATTTGGAAACAACAAATGAATTTGGATGGGTTTTGAGAATTGGAAGTTTTGGAATTTGGAGGCCTAACATAACTTGGTACTTTTTTAATTAAAGCGATTATAACACTTAGAGACCCGATGAGAGTTAAGAGAGGCGTGCCATTTTACATTTTTTTATAAATAATTTTTAACCTTGAGCCAATTAAAAAAAGAAACATACACACACTACATACAAAAAATATTTTTGGACCTATTTTTTCTCCATATTTTCTTGGGCCTAGGGCGGTCACCCCCTGTTGCACCCCCCTAGGGCTGCCCCTGGCAAAAATTAATATTACACTTGATGGTTTAAATGCTAAATAAACTGATACATTAGCTATTACTACGTACTATCCTCTGTTTTTTAATTGCAACATGTTGAATTTTACACTATTCACATGTTCTACTTTGACTACATTTTACGGTATTATTTTAAGAAAAATTATTTTTTAAAAAATATTGTTCAATTCATCTCATTACAAATTTTCAAAATCTGATTTTTAATTATTTTTTACTAATAGAGATTAAGATATAGTTACGGTCAAAGACGTGCGTTGGCGAGTGTGAAATGTTGACCGTTGCAACTAAAAAAGAACGAAGAAAGTATAATATAGACATGTTAAAATAGCACTCCGTAAGACCGTAATAAGGATTTAATCATTTATTTTTATAGTTTTTTTGAATATATTATTTTACAGAATTGAAAAACCTAAAACGAAATGAAGTCAAAGTTGTTTTATACTTTTGAGATAAGTTCGGACGAGGTTTAAAAGGGGAGGATATTTTTTTTTTACCAAGGGGAGGATATTTAAAGATGTTGAACATTTGGATCTCAAATCCATCATCCATATGGTCCATAATAAATTGCAACAAAAGTTGAAGGCGTATGCCACATAAGCTTAAAAAACAAAGGAAAAATTGATAGTAATAATCTCAACTATTGACGGTCAGCTCATAATAATCTCAACTATTGATTATTTCAGAATAATCCCAATTGTAGGGACCTTCCGCCAATAATGGTCCGAGGTGACCAAATATAAATAAATTCATATAGTTTCTAAAATGGATGAGAAGAAATATAGCAAGTAATTCCTATAAATAATCCCAACTTTTAATTTTTACGCTTATTTCTATTTGAAATTCAGTTGTTATCTTGGTCATGGACCATTATTGGCGGACGGTCCATATAGTTGGGATTATATAAAAATAATCAATAGTTGAGATTATTGTTAGCGGACCAACAATAATTGGGATTATAATTTTCCATTTTTTCAAAAACAAAACTCACTTGTAGCACCTGGAAGTATCGATTCCTCCGACCTGTAGCCCCATCAAGCTCTCTATTCTCCTAATACTACCACATAGGCTCAATACGATTTTTGAGGTGTAGCCTATGCTTACTCAACTTATGTTGTACGTCCGCCCCTGCCTCAACCACATACTTTTTAATTTATAAATCCCCGTGTCGGTCTGTTAAGACCCGGGGTTCCATCCTAAAAGGTCAACCTGTTAGAGGAGTAATACAGATCTTAATATAGTGTTTAATTCTTTTAGAAATATCCGGCGTGGGACTTTAACACCCCTCCTCACGACCAGAAACTTCGTCTGGATCGTGTCATCATTCATGTTTTCATCGGTTCGTCATCTTTTTTATAATCGTGTAACCATTTTTCATTAGTGGTACCACGCCATGGATCAACCTGACTCTGATACCATGTTAAGACACAAGGTTCCATCCTAAAAGGTCAACCTATTAGGAGGAGTAATCCAGATCTTAATATAATGTTTAATTCTTTCATAGATATCCGATGTGAGACTTTAATACCTTCAAACTTGACATAGTTTTAAGGGACAGATGAAGTGTTACTTATATAATTCTAAAAGACAAAATATGACTATTTTTGGCCCTCGAACCAACTTAAAAAATGCAATTCACCCCTAACATAGGAGGCTCTGTCCGACCGTTGCCGTTTGAGCTGGTTTCCGGTGGAATTTTTTGATGAAATTTTTTGAGCATCATCTTCTTTAAGTACACTTACCCATACCAAATTTAAGATAAAACTTCATCCGCGAAGACAATCAAATGATTTTCTGAAATGTACTGCGTTATTTAACTGCACAGTTATCTTCAAAAATTCATTTGGCTGTCTTCCCGATTGATTTTTTGGCTGGAATTTGGTATGAGTAAACTAGACTTTATGAAAAAGACGCTCAAAATATTTCATCAAAAAATTTCACCGGGAATCATCCCAGATTGCGATCGACTGATAGAGCCTCCTAATGAGTTACACTTTTTAAATTAGTTATGACCTATTTGACGCTTTAGAGAACTCGTTTCACACGCTTTAGGTGTACACAAAAGTTGTACACTCTTTGAGTACACTTGTCTGTCCCCGCAGTCCAAGTTGTCTGTCGACAACTTGGACTGCGGGGACAGACAAGTGTACACAAAAAGTGTACAACTTTTGTGGCATTTTTCTTTCTAGAAATACGATCAACCGCTCCCTACACAATAATTGAGTGTTCCACCTTTTCTTAGCAGTTGGTCGTGTTAGGAATTAAACTCACGCACGCGATGAATAATAAGAAGAACACATGAAAATTTGGTAACCCAGTTCGCCACGAATGACTACGTCTGAGGGCGCTACCAAGCCAGAAATATTATTGCCATTTTCGGATCACCAGATTACAAGGGAGAGAACTTGTATTTATAGAGAAGTAAAACCTAACCCAAGGCAACTAGGACGAAAAATAAAAACAAGCCCAAACTGTACGGATTCCGTACGGCCCAGACTGTACGGACAAACTTTTCTCCGCAGTTATACGGTCTCTAACACCTTACGGGTCGTCTCCCAACTTTTCTCCGCAGTTGCTAGTCTCACTCGTCATCTCCTTCAGGCGTGGTGCAGCAACCTCTTCTCCGCCTCTGCCACAGCTTGTCCAGGCCACGCCGCTACCTTGCTGCCTCTCACCCTGGCGTCGGCTTTGCAACTTCCTTTCCTCCACCGTCTGTCCTTTGCTTCAGCATACAAGGAATGTGACGAATTCCCCACATATTAAACCACTGTTGCAGCGGTGGTGATCGAAAGAAGAAAAGATTAGATTTGTTCCGGTCCAACCGTTCATTTCCGCCACTCCAATTGTCCATAATCACATCACTCATTCCCATTGATTATGAGAAAGAGAAAAGTGTCAGTTCAGTACCTAAACTCGTGGCGTCTGGCGTAAAGAGTACGTGATGTAGCAAATGAGTTCCAACGGTACACCAATTGTCCAAACGCGAGCTAATTTGGTACCTCGGCCCATTAGTTGGGATAAAACGGTGACATGGCGAACAGATTACTTACGTGGCCAATTTAAACATGTTTGTTAAGTACAGGGTTGCCTCCAAGTCAGCTTCCTTCCTCTTCTTATATTACGAACCAAACCCTACGATATGGAGTTCATCATCCTCCGGCTCATCTGTACTTTTTATCTCTTCCCTTCCGGCATATGTATACAGGCTCCGGAGGTTTGGTTCTTGTTTCTCTTCCGGCATTTTACTTGGGGGTGGTAAACGGTGTCTCCAAGTCACAAATTTTATTTCTTTTTCAGGTTCGGGAACAACACAAATGTCTTATGGAAATTGCTAATGTGGAATTCCAGCAAAGATTCCGACTTCATGGACAAATGACAATCCAGGGAGATGATTCACTGCATGCTCAAGAGCCTTATAATATTAGTTCTAATATCAGTTGTAATATGACTCGTAATGTGACTTCTAATATGCCATAATTTTTTGTTGTTGTTGATATGCCATTCTATTAGGGTACAAGTGTCTGCTACAACATGTTTGAATGGCTTGATGAGGAAATCTGTTATAGGTCGAAGATGATTATTCCGGGTTTGTTGAGGAAAATAAACAGTTTGGAA